CGTTGACAACAAAAGTGGTACAAGTGTGTACCAACAGTCTCAAAGGACTAAAGGCACATCCCAGCATGAGTTCAAGTTTATAAATCTGTCGGTGCGAAGGAAGGAACTGTTCACGGAAGCAGCAGGTGTCTCGTTCTCTCGGCTTCAAAGTGGGAAACAAGGGCGCTAAGACTTGAAGAGACCGCTTCAATTGCTTAATTTTTTCGCCTGTAGCGGACCGGTGTCTGGTTCACTCTCATCCGTTTTGCTCTGGCCCCTATTCTTTCTATGCGTGCTCAGCCTCTAACCATAAGTGCCACAGCACAGCCGAATGAAGTAGCTGACCAAGCCGTCACCCTTAGCGTTTTCAACGATTTTTTTCTATTTTTCTTTACTGTTGTCCCACCTCTCTTCAATACTTCCGTTTCGTGCGCGGACACACCAGTTCGTTTTTGGGCGTTTTCCGATCATTGCCATTGTTTTTGGGGGCTTTCAGGTATGGATCATTGTTTTGTTTATCCTTTTTTGAAAGGGCGGAAGTGGTGTAGTGGCAAGTGGCACGCTTACCACGCGAGCGGTCCGGGGATCAAATCCTGGGTCGTGAGTCGCCCGGGCCAACCAAGCCTTCCATCCCTCCGGGGTCGGTTAATTGGTACCAGACTTGTCTGGGAGGATAAAAACACTGACTTGTACATCGGCTGGCCCCCGCAAGTCATTGTATAGGCCACATCGCATTCAAACGAATGTACAAATGGAAGTAGAATGCGTGCCGCATCCCAAAAAGGGATTGATCAACGGCAAATGCTTTATCCTTTTTATCCTTTATCCATTTTTGAATCAGCTTCAATCTCTTTTCGTCAGATGTGTACAATTGTGTGCTGAACGTTTATATATTGGTCAAATACATGGAAAATATTGCATAAAGGCATGGCATAAAGCAGAAGAACGTCTACGAGCTTTGTGCTTCCATCCTTCACTTAAGTGATCAGTTGTAATCGGTATGGTGCATCTTAGCGAGGAACGTCTGAAGGAAAGAAAATTGCAGTAGACAATTGTAGATACTTTACAATTACTTTGATTACCGTGTAAAGTTCTATAGCTTCCTCGATGCATTTCGTGCCCATTAGCTCGCGAACCGAATTCATTGCCAGTTGCGGACAACCGATATCAGCTGTGAGAATTCCCAGAGAGGCGGCCAGAATTGGCCCAATCGTTTTGCTTTCTCTGAAGTCATTACGGCCTGTTGCAATCTGGAATATTCACACTGTCTCTCACTGAACCTACACAAATGGGAGAGTTGCACATGCAGCTAAAATCTACGGCAGCCCACCTGCAACGGCACTTTCGCCTCTGCTGCGACTGCCTTCATCAAGGCAAGTGATGTGCTTGTAGTGGCCTTCGACAGGTTAGGGTCGACCCAAATCGTAGGACCTCCATGAAGTGCTATGTGAGAATTATCCTGAACTTCTCTTTTGATCAGATACAATAATCCATATGCTGAAAATCCATACAATCAGAGCTAGCCAGTAAAAAGAAAGAAAAGCAGAATCGCAAGGTAGTGCGACTCACAGTTCAAGTATTAGGTCGTGAAGAAAGTTCTTGCGCTTTTCGACCTTGATTTTCAAATGCCTGTATCTCGGCTCATTCGAAACCTTTTTGATTGGAGTAAAGACTGTTAGAATCCACAAACCTCTGCCAATAATAGCTGCGTTGAATCAGCCCGGTAGTGCAGAATACTGGAGCTCTAGAGACGATGAACCCGGCGGAGGTCGTTTCCGCATCATGTTGGTTTTTGAAGCATAACTCTTTGGAGAAGCTATCCAGGTAGTCGAGAAAGTGACAATTATAGGCAAAAGATCTACCGAGTAAGATGGTCACAGCACTAACTCGTAGCCCAGCTGGTTCAGCAACCAGGGTGAATAACGGTCGAGGAAATCCTCGACCATAGCTCTCTACCATGCGAGAGTAGTGCCGAGAGTGAACATCCGCGCGGAGAGCACAGACGGCACGGCATGGCGAGTGTGAATGTCCGCGCGAGAGATCGTGTCTGATCGGGCAGAGAATCCTCGACGTGCCGTTGAGGAATCCTCAAGCGATATTCACCCTGTCAGCAACTGCAGGGTTGATTGTGGGATGTGCGTTCAAAGCAGTACCTGACGGGGATGGGTCTACTCGTTCATAATGAAGAATCCTGAGCGAATGTGCTACAATTCTAGGATATAAAAATCCTTGAGCTAGGAAAAGAAAATCAGGCTAATCTGCTCTTCCAACAAGCTTAATTTAAGGCTTCAAAAAATGTCACCCATAACAAAAAACAAAGCTGTCCACACTCTCGGCTAGTACAAGCTCTTTAAAATGGTGTATAGCACGATAGCTGCTTTCTTGAAGTCGAAAAAAAGGTGTACGTAAATGGAGCACCAAAATGCGCAAAAACTTTTTTAACGACCTAATATTGTATAAGCCCTGCCGGGCCTTGAAAACTAAGTACGTATGAAATGAAATCTCAATCTTTTATGAAATCACCTCTGATTTCGAAGGATAGTTCGGATGTGTGGCATCAAACTGGTTGACCGCAACCAACATGCTGCGGCCGCAGGCTCGCTCAAATGCCACTGGATCACAATTCGCCGATATTCGTCTCAACACGTGCTCGAAAAACGCCGACTTTGCTCCCATCTCTGTTTTTGAACCTGCCTGAACGAAGCCCTTGTTAAGCTTCATATTTGAAAAACTGCTTTAGCCCTTTGTGCCACTTACGTTCTCACTGTCAAAGCAGGCCACAATTCGTATCCCTTCCTCACATTTCACGCAATTCTCGTCTTCGATTGACCTGAGAAGTGCCTGGATAGCAGTGTAAGTCCCGACCAGATCGTCAAGTCGAGCTCCCGTTATAAAATCTTGATGAATGCCGCTGATTCTCTAAATTATCAAATTTTCACCATTATTCCTTCCGGCACAATCCACGTAACATTCCTAGCCTAATTCATAAGATAAGCACACCACATTTCACAGGGATAAATTTTTTATACTTATGGTTAGAGGAGGACGATTTACCGTTGGGTTGCAGTCATAGACATACAGATCCATGTCGACGATGTCTTCCGGTTTTGTGTGACCAGCTTCAGCAACCAGTCTCAAGAAGTTTGTGTGGTGCTGATCGACTATGCTTCGCGGATCGTCTTCCTCTTCCTTTAAAGAATAATGGACAAAAAACGTTGATTCGCGACCTTAGGTAATTCAAGCCTTAGTTTTCTAGTGAAGTGATTGTTGCACACCGAGGCAAAGTTCGTGAGGGGGAGGTGCGAGCTTTTTGATCGGAAAGGCAGCTCAATGTTTCGAATTGGTTCGAAAGTGGACCTCAAAGAGCCTTCACGGTTGGATACCCTAGTACACGTTACATGAGCGTTACACGAGCAGCAAAGTCTGGGGTTGCTGGGCGAAATGAAGCTTTTGCGCGAGAGCGAAGAAAATTCAGTGGAACCCAAGTATAGAGTGTACCCACTTGATGTAACAGCTTAGTCAGCAAGGCAGAAGGCTAAGAATGCACCGCGGGTTCTTCCCACCACCGTGGATCCTGTCCGCATACATATATATGCTAATTCGCTTCGTTGCTACTGGAGAGGAGAGCTTTGCTCACGGTTAGGCCGCGTTCATAGTTCGCGACTCGGGAGATTAGGATAGTAGGCGACAGGATATTAGGATAGTAGTAGAGTAGGAGATTGCGCTGACAAGATTAGATACGTATCGATTGAAATCGCTGGAGAGTAGTAGATTGCGATATTACGATAGTAGGATAGTAGTAGAGTAGGAGATTAGGATAGTAGTAGATTAGGATAGTGCGCTGACAAGATTAGATATGTATTGATCTATTCGCTT